CTCGTTAGGCATCAACTTGAGCTTCTTTGCAGTTGAACTTGCTGGCTGGCCAGTTGAACTAATGTTTTTTTAAACGCTGCCATTGTCGGAGAACGTGGCAAGAGGTGGGAGAAAAAGTACTGCGAGCACAATGGGGAACATCGATGGGGATTTTGCGGTCGGCACTCTGTGGGATACAACAATAGCTGAATGAATGGATTTATGAAAAATGGTTATTAAAGAGAATTGTTTGAATAGAAAAACGTTTCATAAACGTTTGTGAAACAATTTTTATGAGTTTAAAACATGGCTAAGGATAACGATCAAATCTGCACACAGTCCTGCAACCTTTTAACCTTTTTCCCAATGCATAATTAATGATGAATAATAAGTAATACCACTGCCAGCTGTGCTACCACTTAAGCCTCACAATTCCCTTATGTCTGCTTGTTCAGTCAAGTGCATTCGATGGGAAATACTTTTTAAAACCAACCCCGCCCAAGGTCATAGACTCCACACTCCCCAGCCGCCCCGCCGCATCACTTGTCACCAGGATGAGCACTTGAATGCAAAAATCCACTTTGTGTCAGGCCATTCTTTAATGATTATTTGTGGAGCTCCACCCGCCACTCCGACCCGCCGCGGCGTTCACTTATCGAAAGGATAATCGCCCCCATTGTGCCCCGATAGGCAGCTGCTGCTCCTGGCTTGCTGCTTGCTGCTTGCTCCTTGTGGAATTGAGCAATTGCATGGAAACGCAATTATTCTGTGTATTCACGCTGTCTGGGAACACCCCAAACCCCAAACGCCACCCCCCACCAGTCATAATTATTATTGATCGTATTTCAATTTATTGGTACATTTTTTATCCATCCATTTGCCGCTCTCCGGCACTCTTTCTCTGCTGCCGCTAACAATGGCTTTTGCTGGCCAAGCTGGCAACACTGTCAACGCTTTGTTGATGATTTTTCAAATGCGCTTAATGACCAGCGGGTTTTGGCAGAAACCCTCCTACAGCTACAGCTCCTTCCACTCTGCTCCGTGCTCTGTGTGGCGTGTGATTGAAGCCGCTTCTTAATGCATATGAAATGGTAATTACGCATACGTCGCATTGTGCAGCGGAAGGAAGGAAGGAGCGGTGCGGCATGTCCTGGCACGGCACGGCATCGCATGGAATCAAAGTGCCATCTCCACTTATGGCCGCTCATTTATCTTATTAATAGCCTTAAGCTCCTCTCCTCACAGTAATTTATCAAGCGCTAAAAAACTCGATCCACAGACATTTGCTTTGCTTTCGTGTTGCTTTTGCTTTGCTGCTTTCTGCTTTTGTCATTTCTATAATCAACTTGGAGGAGACATTGACTGTTACCAGCAGCAGAACCCCAAGGAGTGCCCGAAGTATGTTCCGAGCATCGAGTTTTGACAGTCGCCTTTGCTCTGGGTCTAGACAATGTAATTGTCGACAGCAGCAAATCGAGTGTCCACTCGGGGAGGCTCCACCACCCCACCGCACCACACCCCTCTTATGGCCTTTGTGGCAGTAAATCAGAGGGAATCGTATAAATCACCGAGTACCAGACTTTGGTTTCATATGTTGCGGCTTTCTAAATCACAAGGTGTCAGGCGAAAAAAAAACTCTCTCTCAGACAATTTTGATGAGGGTTCCTACGTCTCCTTCGGCTTCTGGCTCCTTTGTTTCCATTGCCTAGCGAAACTATGCTAAACAAATAGCCAGTCAGGGCAAGAGAGGAAAAATAGAATATAGAAAAGGGGAATTGGAAAATGGATTGTTGATTGTTGAATGTTGAACTAACCGCAGAATGGGGTCAGCACGGCATAGACATGTTATAGGGGGGAGCAGGCGCTGTTTGCTTATTTATTTATTTGAAGTGTCCAAACAGTCGACCACTTGTCACGGACAACAGTCGCCGCTTGATTTATAAACATTTACATATCACAGGGAAACCACTTGGATCCTAGGGAGGGATGTTGCTGCCCAATTAGGCGCAGCAATAAATTCAAGCTGCAAAAAAAAAGAAAGAGAAAGTTAGCGAAAGGAAAACTAGCCCAGAAAGAGAGCTGGCTGGAGGAGTGGCGGAGTGGCTTCCAGCGTCTGCAATGCCGTTAATTAAAAAGTTTTTTAACAAGTTAATTGAAATAGATCTCGATTGGAGGAGTTCTTATTGATATTTGGCTGACGTTTGGCATTTGCCGTTTACCGCTTTTGCCAGTTGCCAGTTGCCAGTTGCCGTTTCGTTTCTTAGCCCAAAAGCGGAGAATGGGAAACGGGAAACTAAATGGAACGACACAGCACGGCACGGAAGGAAACTAAATAATTAGTTTGCTGGCCTCTTTTGGGGCAAAACTTTCTGGTGCCATTTGAAGTGGCGAAGTTGATTCGGGAGCTTCAGCAGAGTAGAGCAGGCTGGCAGACTGTTTGCCAACAACTCGAGCCACGAGCCCACTCACTCGACAAGCGAAAACTTAACACATTATGAGTTCTGGAGCTTTGACTCTGCCACCCGTCAATTCAGTAGCCCCCCAGCAAATGCATTTGACATTTACGTGGAAGCAACAGCTGCTACATAAATTAAAAAATATAAAAAAAGGCCAAAGCCAAAGCTGAAGCAGACGCGAAACGAAGTCGGCCATTACAAATAAAACAGCAATAATAACAACGGACCAGAGCCAGAGAGCCAGAACCAGAGAGGGTACAGGGCAGGGAACGAGAAATATTGAAGAGAGAACCTCTACAGGCACAGGCACAGGCACCGGCTGAGGCCTTAGGCTGGAACCGGGCATAAATAATATGTACAAAAGAAACTTTTTGTCAAAGCGCCCCAAGTGGCACTTGGAGCTCACCCTTTTTGCCAGATAAGCCTGGCCAGAACGTTGGGGCAACGGCACCGGCAACGGCACCCAATCGGGGGAAATCAATAATGATTTGGCCTAGCCATCGACTCTAAAATGACTTGACGTACGGCTTTCATTGACTGACAGTTTAATACTCTTTCTGGAGAAAAGTTTAGCAGGACAAATATTTTAGTGCTTACACCAGCCTGCCATGAAGAAACTGCATAAATGCATGCATATCGGGGTCACCAAATGATGTCTGCTATCTTCCTGTGGTGCCGAAACAAGTCGGGGTCACCCTTTGGCTAGTAGTTCGAAGCCCCTAGAGGCATTGTGCGTGTCACCTTCTGGTGCCTGGACGTGCCACGAAGGGACAGACAGCTGTTGGCAATATGTTCACCTTTCAGCCTGAGACAGCAGTCATTAAAAAGTTCTTGCAATCCCACGGGTAAGGGTAGACCATTTCAATGGCAACCGGCAACCGGCAACTGGCAACCATGGCGACAGCTTCAACATCGAGAGCCAAAGACTTGGACGGTCATCAAAGTAAAGTGTTTTCCAACTTTTCTTTTCTGGTCTTCCCACTGCGATGTTTTTTTGTTTTTTGTTATTTTTCTCTTGGTTTTTTTTCTGCGTGCGGCTGAAACTTTGTGGCACTTCGCAGCTGCTCCTGCGGCGCTTGTTATTGTTCTTATTTACTATTAAAGTTGGCTGCGAGTCAATGCTACTGCAGGGGATCGTAAACAGCTTGCGGGCCACTGGACAGGGGGTCGCTCTTCATCCCCTTTCCCCTTTTCAAATGCCGATTGGCTCTGTGCCGATTGTCGTGTGGGGATTGGGCGCTGTAATTCCGCAATTTCCGGCTCCATGGACCGTGGCTTTATTACCAATTAAAGTTATTCAATTGCCGCGCAAAAGTTAAAACGTTGCGCTAATTTTATATCCCCCTCGCGGCCCGCACATGTAAATATGCAATGGGAATATCTATTTTATGCTGCCGTTTATTGTTGCCACTGCCACTGGCCCCGCAATGCAGGCAACAGTTTTGTGGCATGCGGGTATTTGTGGGCTTTTGCATGTTTAATGCTTCTAATCAACATTAAGCCATGTTTGGTCCATGGCCAGGACAGCAATACTAACACCAGACCCTGCCCTGCCCTGCTCTGTCCATTGTGTACGTGGGTCAACCGCCGGCAACACCCACAAAAGATACAAAATTCAGTTGCAGATACAACATCTGACGCTGCTGCTGTCACATTTACATAATTTCATTTTGCCACCCCGACATGTTGCTACATGTGTCCGCCACACAGCAAATTATTACTCGTTTTTATTAACCAAAAATTATGCTCAGCTGTTGATTTGCCCCGTCATCGGTGGTGGGCGTGGGGTCTCTGGTTCTCTAGATGATTCTGCTCCTCATTTTTGCATCATTCTTTTCGCATAAATATTCATCAGCTCGGGTATGAGTATCTGTATACATATTTGGCCACCCCCCCTGCAGAAATAGAATGAAGATCAGGGTCCAGAGATGGGAAGCTCTTTCATTAATTAAGTTCAGGTTTTTTTTTCTTCTTCATGTGACGCGTAATCAAGGAGCAGTGGCGTAGCTCTGAAAGGGGGGACTGCCAGATGGAATCTGAGTAGCTTGTGGCTACTGCCACTGCTCCAGATGATGGGCACAACGATGACGATGACTGCGTTGCAAGAACCACTCAATCTTGTTGAGTAAGCGCCACTAATTTGTTTTTTAAGGCTTTGCTGGATGGACACTCTCTTTCTCTGCCAGAACATCCTGCCTCCCCAAAAACATCCTCACTTTGCATATTTTATTGAACGCATCGAGTATGCACGAGTGTGTAGTGTGTGTGCCATGGAGTGGCCTCACAACCACAAATACGTTTTTAAGGGCCATCTCTCCGGCCGTGGAGACTGTGGCAGCTGCGTCCTGGGGCCCCGGGCTGTGGCAGTCTGTGGCAGTCAGCTCATGCAATTTGGCTATTAAAAATCATTAGCAGCGGCAGGGAATTTTGCCCCTTGAGGCTCAAACATGAGGTGTGTGTCAGGCATGCCTGCAACATTGCTTGCCGCTGCTGCATACTTTGTGGCAGGCATTTTTCATTAAACTTGAGCCCTCGTAGCATGCTCTGACTTTGTAGAGGAGATCCCCTAGTCACACTCAAACTATTGCCAGTCGAGAAACAGAAACACAGAAACACAGAAAGATGTCTTCCGGCAGCACACTTGAAAATCCCGATGAGCTATATGAGGAGATGATTGACGAGGTGATGGACATTGTGGCGCAGCAGCCAGAACTGCTGGACATTCTATACGAGGCGCTGATTGATGTCGAACTGCACAAGCGGCGCTGCAAACTGCAGCCAAGTGAAGGGCTTGTGGCGTTTAGTTACCAATTCCACGACAGTGCCCCGGGAGCTTGATCTCAGCTTGAAATTTATTGGTGAGCTTGGAGCTGGATTAAGGTTCAATCTATTGATTAAACCAAACCCCCTTTTGCCTTTAGTTGAACAACCTGCAACTGGTGCTGCTGGGACTAGCACTGCCACTGCCACTGCCACTGCCACTGCAACTGCAACTGTTGATAATTACAAATTCAGAGTACCGCAAAAATGTTGTAATTTGAAGTGCAGTCGCAACCGCATCCTGCAACTGTCCCATTCTCGCTCCCAGTCCCAGTCCCTGAGCTCAGTCTCGTCTCTTTCCGTTCAGTTTTTGGGAATTTTGTTGCAATAATGAATATGCACAGCACACTCACACTTGCTGACAAATTAAAATGTACAATGACCGAGCTAATTGTGCAAAACTGTGCGCCTGTTTTTTCAGCAAATATTTTGTTAACAAATTTGGCGGCAATTTAAGCCACAGAAATGCAATTAGCCATGCACGTAATTAACCAAACAAAATGGGTGGGTGCAAAGTGCTGTCGGCCAACACTCCAGTAATGGTGAGTGGAAAAAAAAATACCACCAGCGATTACGTAGAGAAATCAAATTCAATTTTTGAGCCTGTATATGGTCCTGGGGGATCCCGAGGGCCAGAATGTCTTTGACACCTCAGCGGCGCGTCATTTCATGTTGATAAGGGTTCAATGTTTGAGGGTCTCCCGGGTGCAGGTCCGAGCCCGGTGCTGCCTGGCTGTGTTTGAGCGGAGCAACAAGTTTGTCAGAACCACACACACAGATACACTCCACAGAAGATACACAGGGGTCTCTGTCTCCCCTGCAACTCCTGCCATTTCGGTTATCAAATTGAGCAAACAAAAGCCCAACGACTATGTTCAAAGTTTGTCCAGAAATTAATTGAAGCGACCCTGCTGTCCGCACTGTCCGCACTGTCCCCTCTGTCCCCACTGTCGATGACAAAATTCATAAGAAAACGTACGTGTAAATGGGTAGCCAGAAACTGTCGTCCACCTTTGACCGGAAAACTGATTCATCGACAACAACTTTGGGGACAGGGAAAATGCGAACCCAAAAATTTAATTAAATTAAGTTTCTCTTTTTTTATGAAGTTAAAAAGTTGCCACGACTTTCATTTGTATAATTTCTGTTCTGTCTGAGTCTTAACTTTTATTGCAGCTGTCGAGCGGGGAAATTGTGCACCTCAGCAGCCTCCTTTCTGTGTGTGTATTGCCGTGTAATTGCCATATTGACTGCACATGTTCTGGGCTTGCCAACACCTCGACTTGGTCCATTGTCCCTGTGCCCAACGCCTTTTGTGCCCTGGTCGAGTTTGAATGCCTGGAATACCTTTCTCGCTCTACCTGTGCGGGTATGAATTTCCCTCCATGAATAGGTCAACCCCAGCACCCCCCTCAACGTGTTGAACTACTTATTTGCTTACGACTGCTGCGATTCCTAGACGCACTCTGAATGCAAAATGTCCTGAAAGGCAGAGAGACAGGCGGCAGCAGGGTTGGGTTTCGGTGCTCTATTTTCTGGCATTCATTAAATCTTCAAGCTGATGTGGCACGACACATATTTCACCGATGATTTGAGATCTGTCTGCATATAATTGGGTATAAAATGTAATAGTAATCGGAATAATTACAGATTTATTGAGTCAGTTTAAAGCTTTAAGCTTTGAGTTGAATGATTTTTGAGTTGCATTCATAACATTTTGTGTTTGTCCAGACAATCGTTATTTATATCCCAATTGCATGCCACAGAACATGTTTTGATTTGGTCCATCGATCAATCAATCAATCAATGCATTGAGTCACGGTCTGTGGGACTTTGGCAAACCAAAACTTTGATTGCAAACAAATGGAGAATTTTAATAAAAGAAATTCCTGCGCTAAATGACGCGCAACAATCAGAGAGCCAGAGCCAAAGGTGACAGCCCACAACTTGGAATTCCCAATGCTTTGTGCCCCCATTGTCAATGTCCAACTGTTCGCCTAAGTGGTGTTAAGTATTTGAAAATCTCTGCTCCTCTGGCGTACCAATCTCCCCTCTATTCCCCTAGCTGTGCTGCTTTTGCGGCCGCCTTCCGTTTTATTGTTTTACGACAGTTGGCCAAATACTTTGGCTAGCAAAAGTTTTGCCCTCATGGTTATGCAATTGTCTGTGATTTACGGAGGTTTCTATCCTACTCCTACTTCCACTCCCTATCCTTTATCCCTCCCAGTGGTCAGTAACCACAACCGAAACTCCACCGACATTTAGTGATATTGATTTATTGCTGCTCCCAGGGCACTGCCTCCAGGTCCCGCAGGCACTGCTCCATGGGTGTGACCACGCAGAGCGGCTTGCGGCCACTGTAGTAGGCGCTGCTGGGCCGGGCATAGCCCACCTGTCGCTTGTCCAGCCAGGCGGTGATCTCATCCAGGCACAGGCACTGCCAGGGATTACCCTCGATGCGGATGTGCCGCAGTTGGAGCAGATACTCGGATGTCTGCAGCGATGCCAGATAGCTGAGGCGATTGTTGTTGATCTCCAGGTGCGAGAGATTTCCGAATGTCTCCAGTATATCGCCCTCGATCTCCTCCAACCGATTCTCGCCAATGGTGAGCAGCTGCAGGCGCCGCAGTGGGGCAAACATGCGCAGATCCAACACCTTTAGTTTGTTGCCTCTTAGGCGCAGCTCTCGCAGATGTGGCACTCCAGAAAATGCCAGTGGATGCAGCTCCATCATGTTATTGTGGCTCAGATTGAGGTGGGTGAGTTGTCTCAGCAGAGTGCCCCCAAAGATACTGGCGCCCAGCTGCTTGATTTTATTCCTGCTCAGATCGAGTCGTTCCAGGGCTGTCAGCATTGAGAAAACTTCATCGGGCAGGGCAGAGATTTTGTTGCCCTGCAGCTGGAGGGACTCCAGGGCGCACAATCCCTGGAATGCACGCGGATGGATCCGATTGATTTGGTTTAGCCACAGATTGAGAGTCCTCAGATTGGACAGTTTGACAAACACCGAATCCTCCAGCACTTTGACATTGTTCGAGCTGTAGTCGAGCAGCTGGAGGGGCACCGCTCGCTCGTTGGCAGCCGCAAAAAGATTCGCTTTGATCTCGTACAAATTGTTGTTGGACACGTTGAGCACCCGCAGCCGAGGCGTGGCAAAGAAGAGGCCCATGTCGAGATTCTCCAGCCAATTGCTGTGCAGATGCAGCTCCTCCAGGTTGGGCACACCACGCAGACGGCACCAACGGAACTGCAAACAGAAAAGTATTGAAAAGGAAAAGGATTTGCTTTCGGGTGTTTACTTACATCCCTCACGTTGTTGTTGCTGATGGAAAGGTAACGCAGATTCGCATTCTCCCCTAGGGTCACGTTCTCCTGCTCGTTGGTGGTCAGGTCTAGGAATTCCAGCTTTCGCAGCCCCTTGAAAGCATTCATCTCCACCTCTGCTACGAGGTTGTTGGAGAAATTCGCATACACCAAACGTGGCATTCGATCCATTACCTTCCCAGTGATCAGCTGTATGTCATTGTAGCTCACGTCCAAGCTGCGTAGCGATGAGTTCTGTGGAAAGTGTTCCTCCTGCAGCTCCTCCAGTTGGCAGTGGGTAAGGTTGAGTCCTTCCAGCTGCGTGAAATCTCGCAGTCCCCTGTCGCCCAGCGTCAGGCCACCGGACTCGGACAGATCCAAGTGCAGCAGCCGGGCCAGAGCTGGCAGAGCTTTGGTGCCGCCACTCTCGATGCCCGTGTGCTCGTTGATCACCTTGACGCTGCGCCAATCCTCCTGCACGTATCCATTGAGCTGCTGGAAGCTCTCAATTTCGCGACAGATGTGACTGCCCGCTGAGATTTCCTCACACTCCTGCACATCCTTGGCCCACGCCTCGAAGGAAATGAGGAGCAGCGCAAACAGAAGTCTTAGTGCCTGCATTTTGGGCACTAAAGTAAGACTGTGACTGCTCCGATTGAAGTTCTTGGCTGTGTTTATTTTTAAGTCAGCCTAACGCAAACCCGTTTGAGTTCACTTTTGGGGCGGGCAGAATGCCTGCAGCAAGCCGGTTTCCTTTTAATAAATACATTTAATGTATCCCCTGAAGCGTGAGCAAGTGCAAAGAAGAGGAGCAAAATCCACCGACCAGGGACTGTTGATCCATGGCTAAATGTATGATGAATTCGATTGCATTCCATCGCCTTTCAATCGGCATCGATATCTCGACGGCTTGGCGCCTTTTCTGTTTGAATTTAATCCGTAGCACTGTTTCAGGGCGACGAGACTATGTCAGACATCAAAAATATATTTGATATTTTCTTGCTCCCTTTGCAACACCAATTGGAAAAACAACACAGCAGATACTTCGCAATTTCATTGAAAAAGCTTCATAAAACCATCAAAAGCAGTATTCAAAACTGACGATCTTCTAGAAAATTGCTTCATTCATCTCATAAAATAATATGTTCAGTATAGAGAGTAACAACTTACTATTAATATTGACTAGAATATCAAAATCGAGGAATATGATTTCAGATTTACGGTATAATTACAGTATATTTCCAAAATCAAAGGGTATATTTCGGTATATTTCCTGTCGGTATATTTGATCGACAATTCCGCGGTCACACTGATAATCACGCCATATTTCTCAATTTGTTTATTTTTTGTAAAAACCAAAACAAAGAGTATAATTAGGCAACAAAATCTCAAGTAAAAAGATGAACAAGAATGGCGGAGACCGCAGCGTGTCGAATACAGTACGAGTACAAGGCGGTAGGCACCAAACCGACAGCATGTTCCATTGACAACCCTCCATGTGGCGCCTATTCCGTTGCTTTGATGATTGTTTTGCAAATTTAATCAATTGTTTGTGCTTTTAGAACTCTTATACTGTGCTGCACGCCACATCCAGCGTCCAAGTCGGGACTGGCAAGGACTGCTACCTGGCTTTAAAGTTGTAAGGAACGTGGATCTGGGACCGGCGCATTCTGTCTTCGCATGCACAACAATGTGAACGTGTCCAATAAGACTGCACCCAAGTAATCTAAACCGTCGCCAAACCGTTTTTTAGGCCTAACAAATATCATCTCCCCCAGATTGAATCTACTCATTCCAATACTAATTAGACGATCCAGACACATCTGTCGTTGCTGCAGTTGGACCCGATCATCAGGGAGATACAGAGCAGATTTTGAGCCACGCCATTCGTCTTATGTAGGCCTGGATAACCTGGAAAAAGAATAGCGAACTGAAGCGGAAATCGGACAGGCCAACTGTCAACGCAGCTCTTCAGAACACTCTGGGAGACACACTGACACCGCAGCAATGTGAAGTTCGAAGAGTTCTAGGAGAAGAACAGCAACGATGTGCATTTCGATAATACACCAGATGATGGTGAGGAGGTATGCATAGATCCCATGGATCCCACCCTGGCATGACGAGAATGTGAGTCTACCATTGGTACCCATAGATATTGACTTAATGGACAATCTTGGATGTGTGTTCCTCCTCCACAGCTGGGCTGGGAAATGAGGAGGACGAACAAGTGCAGCCCGATGGCTCGTAAAGGAAGCAGCAAAAGGGACAGTGTAGAAATGGCAGGATGCCTTCAACTGGCCTGGCCGGCTACACGCATCATCTTTATAGATGCATGCGGAGTAATCTCAAATTAACGTTATCAAAGCGGATCGTCTGGTAGAGCTACAGCAGGCCCGCCTGTTGCCTGAAGTGGAGCGGTCTACTCAAGTATAATTGGAATCTGGATCCTAATGCTTCCCCAGCCCATCATGTCATCATACACATAACCACCTGTTGAGGCAGATACTCAGTTCTCGTGAAGCTGCGAATTCCGTCATAATTCGTTGCGGGAGAAGGCAACACTGGAGAAGCAGAAGCTGGAGCACAAGCCCATACCCATCAAGGAAGCTACAAGCGTAAAGTTGCAACTGAAGCTGCCGTTTCAAGGTCACGCAAACTGCCACGACTACTGCCACCAAGTCGAAGCCGGTGTATAATGGCTTTCTCAAGTGTAACTCAATTGGTAAGTTGAGAAAACAAATCAACCAAATTGAATGTGTACCTAAAATGTGACTTTATTTGCTCCACAGAACTTTTCACTGAAATATGAACGCCCGTGGCTTACTGGAGATAAAGAGAAAAAGGGTGCATCAGACGGCCAGGATATGAGCAGGGATCTGTACTTGCAACAATGACCTAACGTTAATGTCGAGTTTTGTCCAGTCATGCACTGAGAAGGTAAGCAGACTGAAGCAGCTGTCTTTTCACAAGAGAGAACAAATCGAAAATGGTTTCTACATCCTGGAGCTGAAGGATCAGGCTGCTCTCCGATATACAGATGAACGATATGCTTCGAATTGGCCAACATTGAGATCAACTGAAATATACAACATTAAATACCCATTTTGGAAACAAATGTAATGAATTGATGTTTACCAATAAACGGGTAGCTATTCGGTGCTATTTATATTTGTGTTATCTATTGGGGACTGTCGTTATCCTAAAAAGTGTGGCATACTTTTAGGCTGAAGTAATTCCATTTACAAAATAGCAAAAAAACATCCCTATCCTGCAGTCCTTGGGATCCTTGATTTATTCAAGCCAGGCAGGACACTCTTCCGATCCTGAGGAGACTAGCCATATCCTGATCCGACTGGAAACAGCCGAGATATAGAGTTGTAAGGATTATATCTAAAAACAACTTTAAAATGGCATTGTTCTTAATGTCCTTGCATAAAAATTGAGAAGGCGTGGCATGTCCTGATCCGACAGGAAACAGCTAAGTTATAATGTTGTAAGGACTCTGTGTAATAACAACGCCAAAATGGAATTATCCTTAATGTCCTTGAATCCAAAGTGACTGCAAACGAGCCAGGACAATGTCCACTCTCAGCTAGGAAAATGGCCACTTTGATTGAGAATTTCTTATCCTGTCGCTCATGTTGCCCTGTCCGTTTGCAAAATCGGGTCGAAGAGATGTGTACGATTCTGGAAAACACGAGACGGAAATATGTAGAACGAGACCTGCTGGCAATATTGTTGTGCAATTCCTTACCTCATTGGCTGTCTTGACAATATCGATATATACGATATACGAATCCCTGCACATTGTCAGCCATTTCGAAACCCTCATAAAGTACGCCTCTCAAGGTGGCATGGCTTTATTTAGGTCCAGCGGAGCCTCGATCAAGACACCCTTGGCACCCATTCGCGCCTTGGGCAGTGCCTAGTAGCCATCGTTACAGTGTGGATTCTGCGCATCTGCCTGGTTGTCCAAATCTATGGAATTGTGAAGTTCCTGCAACGACCGGAGGGGGTTATCGTATTTGTAAAAAGCAGGAAATGAGCATTATCTTACGCAAGAGATTTAGCAGCAGGTTGGCGAGTGGTACGGCAAAGTCCGTATTCTGATGGCATACTGTATAACGCCTCCTGGCGGCACTACTTACGGTACGGAGAAACCCCTTTAGGCTGAACCTAAGGACGGCACCAAAATACATAACTATATTGAAAACGAGAACGATTAGCCTCTGCAGTGCATTTAGTTGTCATTTTCTACTTACATATCTCACATTTTTGTTACTAAAGGTATCGCTGAATCCCATACTCCACCAGGTTCTTGAATGCAATCGGTTCAACGTCTGTTATCAGGTTGTATGGTTGTATGAGTATGGCCTCCTCAAACTCTACCTATTGATCCATACTGCAGCGCTATGGTCCTTGCGTGATTCTGTTGCTTGTTCTGTTCTGTTAGTCAGTATTTCGATAATTTAATACAAGTCCAACTTAGCACTAATATTGAGGTGTGATACAATCATTAAAGAAATTATAGACAGGCCAGACTGTACGGGGAACCAATAGGTCAATGCATTGACTCAAATTACATTCTATTTAAATGTTATACATTAAATACGATATCCTTATACTTACTTCGTACTTATGTCTTATATCTAAGTAACATTCTGTTGATTTTGGTTTTCTTTTATTAAACCATCGGAGTAATACATTTGAGTACATAAATATCTTTGATAACATCAATATAAGAAAACTTCAACATAAAATCAATGTATGTAGATAGTTGTATTGCATACAGTTGGTATGCATTTTAAATATATTATTTTATGTATAAGACACTCAGAATACAGATTAAAGTACATGTTTCACGTGGGAGTTGCTCATTAGCTAGTTTCTGTTTCACTGTGCATCGTTGTAGAGGTACAAAAAAATGCATAAAGGAAGCAGATTTTCATTCGTTGAAGATTGCGGATGTGGCAAAAGGAGCAAAAATGCCAACCTGTTACTTAAGCGTAGTAAAAAATCGAATATCCCGGCACTGCCCATTCGAGGGACACCTGAGTTTGACAGGTTTACGGTTTACGGTTGTCCGTAGCATTAACAAAGATTCCAGTATTTAGATTCCATTTCCAATTTAAAGCATTTGGTAGAGAGTCGTCAGCTTTGGCCATCAGCAGACTAGTACGCGGTGGTTCAGAGACCACTGCAAGAGCAGAACGTGTCAGCACGTAATTACAGCATGCCCGGTCCGTCGGTCTCCCGATTGCCAGACTTCTCAAAGAACATTGCATCCTGTGGAAAACAGAAAACGGAAACAATAGTCATTTGGTTTCCAGTTGAAACGTTACACGGTTCTGACTCAGAGCGGGGCTAGCCTAATCGAATAAAGCAGGACTTGTACTGGACTGGGCATCTTACCCTCAGCACCAACGAAGTCTGTTTCGCACCCGTTTCGCTATCTTCAACCGATAAAAGTGAACGCTGTACAACTGAGTTGTGGCACAGCCATTCGATCGGTTAGTGCAGCAAGTCTCAGAGTTAGCAATGGGAACTACTTACAATCAAGAATGTGGCGCCAAGCAGAACCGCCTTCATGCGCACATCCAGATCCAGGGGGAAGCTGATGCCAAAGAAGTCGGCATCCGTGAAGATTTCACGCGCCAATCCAGACCATTGCTTCGAGATCTTGCCAATCCTCTCGCCAGTCAGAGACACAATCTGTTGAACAGAACAATTAGTAAGGAAACCATTCAAAAATAAGGTAAATCCAAACCCACATTGAACTCCACATCACCACAGAGAGAGAAGGTGCAGAAGGGACCTTCAATGCGCAGCACTGTGTCTCCGATGTGGTTGAGGATGCGGAAGGAGGGCGAGCAGATGGACCACTCCTGTTCAATGGTGCCGATAACGTTGCCCGGCGGTGCAGACACCGAAATGCTCTGCAGGCAGCAGGGGAAGCAACAGGCCGAGCAGGCCAACGGCCGGTGCATGTGGATGACCTCCTGGCGGTAATTGTCGAACACCTTCATGTCGAAGGGACGCGACGGACCGCATATGTTGCGCGTGCAGCAGTCGTTGTCCTCCACCGCATAGTACACCTTCTGGCCAAGCGCGTTCTTGATGGAGAACTTATTGTTGGTCTCGAAGCCGGTGAAGGCCTCGAGCAGCTCCACCTTCTGCTTAACCAAAAGCTGGTCGATAGTCGTAAGGTATTCCAATCCGCGCGGACAGTTCGGAATTCCGGCTGGTATACTCATCCAGTCGCCTAGAACGGGTAAGGGGCAATCATATAGAGTAAGTCTTCTCGTAATCTTCTCGTAAATTGAATCAACGCGCACAAAAGAGGCATCTTGTCTCGTTTGTTTCGTTGCCACTGTGTCAATTGGTCAATGTCGCCACACAATTACTGCTGCCCTCTCGCCAATTGAAGGCCCCACAAAGGGGCGCCCGCCCAACCCCAAGTGTACAGCCAATTGTCCGCCTTCAAGGCACGTACATATCACGGCTATTGTATCTAATCTCTGTGATGAAGATAAACTTTATGAGCATAATCTCTTGAATTTCATCACTAGCGAACTACATCACACGATGAACCCAACTGGGTTCTACTTTCGTTCGGGTAAGGACACTGGGTATTCCTCGCTCACCTTCTATCCTCTTCGCTGATGTAATACTCGTATCCCTTGCGCTTGGCGGACTTGTTCAGCCGCATGGTGTGTCGCAGCTTCTTGGGCAGCGGCTTGTTGGCCTCGCGGCAGACCAACTGCTTCAGCGTCTGGGATCTCGAGCAGAGGTGAGTGTACTTGCTGTAGAGCGTGTGCCAGATGAAGCGTATCACGTTTGAGCCGCTGCTAACACCTGATCCTCGCTGCTCCCCATGCTCGCCACTCAAATCCAATGTGGAAATGTAGTTTGAAGCCGCACCAGGAGCTGCTGCAGAGACTGTTTCTCCTGCGGTGGACATTGCGAACGCGATTGAAAGACGACCACTTGCCAAGCTGCACAGAGATGAACTGACGCGTCTGGCAGCGTCCGAGTACACAAGTTGACATCAACCGGAGGCTGTGTGTGCTCGTCTGTGTGTGGAAAATCAACGTAGTCCACATAGTCGAGCGTTTTAAATGCCGCTTTGTGTTACTTTATTGGTCCAATTAAGGCTTCCCGATAAGCGTCGAGCTGCTCCGCACGGTTTTCGAGTTTCGAACGGACAGCAGAAGACTCAAAGAATACGCGGAGAGTGACAGGCAGGCAGACGCACATCTGGACCTGGACCTGATAAGCGATTGTAAAACAAGAACCCGAATCTCTGTTGGGCCAGGTAAATATTTACCCACGGCTTATTTTCGGTCCGTTTAGTGTTAGATCGAACACTTTGTACTACGGCGATTCCCCACCTTCTACTCACATCTGATACTGCCGGATGGGTTCACTGGAAGCGGCCCCATATAATGTTTCTTTTAGCTGATTGGACAGTATCTCTCGAGTGGCGGTGCATTGACACGTCCGCACGTAAACAAACAGAGATGCGACTTTCTTGATAACTTGCCTCCTGCTCCCATTCCGGGTGCCATGCCTGGCTGCGGCTGTGCGGGCGGCATTCCGGGCTGCGTGACAATCGGCTGCTGCGGTGGCCCAGCCGGTCCCGGTGGATATCCATACGCCTGCGGTGGTCCAGCCGGTCCAGGTGGATAGCCAAAGGATTGCTGCAACGGTGGCGGACCTCCTCCTCCTCCTCCTCCGCCCACATACGGTGGCTGTCCTGCGCCATAAGGTGGCGCTTCTCCGTACGGCGGCATCTGTGGCACTGGTGCGTAACCCTGTGGTTGCTGACCCGGCACAAAACCCTACAAAGATAAAGACTCGCGTTAGAAATGTTCAATTGGTGGGCGTTCTGTGGAGTACATTCGCTGCGTTGAAAGCTATTAATTATTATTAAAAATCGATCGTTCCACTAATTAGGTTCTATTCACTTTGGTAACAATTTCTGTACAAATGAAACGGGTTTATCCTGTTCCGTATATCTGCTCGTGGCTCGACTTCAAACCTTTCTCTTCGGCGTTCCGCTGACTTGTGACTAATATAATTCTTCGTGCAATTGTTGTAACTAACTTAGTAGGGGGGGGGGGGGGGGGGGGGGGGGGGCAAAAAAAGGCAGAGCCACCGCGCCCGGCGGGGGGATGTAATGAGAATAGTAGGTGCGACAAGATACATAACTAATTAAATAGACATGACAAATAATGATTGATACTAAAGATTCCTCAACTATGACGTCATGGTTTTGGAGTGTGTTTCGGTTTTGCAACGCCCCCAAGCGCAGACCGGACTCAATTTCATGACTCACATAATTCATTGGCGGCTGTCCCGGCTGCTGGTGATGCGGCGATGGAGCATACGGATTATTCTGTGGTGCTGCTGGCGGCGGATAGCCGTAGCCCTCGGCTGGCGGCGCATTTGGCTGGTATCCAGCGCCGAAACCTGGCGGCACGTAGCCACCCTGATTCACGTTGCTGTTCATTGTCTCAGTTGTTGCTCCTCTTGTGCGTTGTTGTTGCTGCCCTACGGTGGAGTTCTCCTTGCCACGCCCCACACGAAATCCAAATCGCAAGAATGCTGCTGTTTGCTTTGCTTTGTTTTGCACGCACTTTTTAATTCGTTTTTAGTCATGAAATTCAATCAGCTGTTTGTATTGACTAATCGCACATTGGTGATGGCACCATCCCATCCACACAGCGATGTATCGGTAAGAGACGACACGTTCTACGCGAATTTGTTGCGACAGCTCCCACAGGTGTGCGGCTCTAAAAATAGAAAACAATTTTTACACTGTTCAGCTAGGCTTGAACCTTTTATAGATGAATGTAAATTAGCAAAAAAAAACCCAAAGGCTTGGAAAAACAATTTCGTATCAAATTTCAACGAAATGAAATAATGTTGTAACGACAGCAAGTCCGAGTCGCAACACGCTGACATCAACTTCTTACTTGTCAACATGTTGCTAGCAGCATCTGGCTTGTGCGCTGTTGCGAATTTGGGGATGTCAGGTTGCATTTATCGCCGCTGCTGACAGTGGTGCGCTGTTGCTCTTGAGACAGGTGGCGTCGCTAGAACTGTTTTTGGAACTTTGGTGGCCACTTTTTACCAGGTGCGGCGGTCGGGCGGCCAAATCAAAGAGGCACCGTTCTACGCTCAGTCGGATCCTCAGAAATTGTCCTGCGTCAGGACGTGTTGTAGCACTAGCAATAGCAATACGATCCGTAATTTGGTCCTAGATCCGCTTCAAGCCTCCAAGTTGTCTTCGTTCAACAATTCCTCGCGAAGCGGACAACTGCCCATCGCGACTTGAGCAAATTTTACACGACACAAACACAACCATTTTGTATGCCAAACACACACGCACACACTCATACAACCACCACAACCCACATTTTTTTCTAATGAGAGGCTGGGCAAACGAGGGAGAACGAACTAGCGGGCGAGGGGGTGGGTGTCGCAGTTAGCGCATAAAAAATGGCGGTTTCCGACGCAAAACGCAAAGCAGATATGGAGAAAAAAATCCACTCCCTGCTAGAGGGCGGGGCGGGTGTTCTGCCAGGGTGAGACACTGCCGCTGCTGCTGCTGTTGCGGCAGAGCGAAAGAGAGAGGGCGAGGGAGAGGCAGAGCGCGAACAACACAAAAAATTCTAAAAAATGTGTAGAAAAAAATTGCGAACAAAATCCACCCCGTGGCAGTGCCAGGGTCGTGGACAGCACAGGCAGACGTCACTCACTCAAGCACACACACACACACACACACTACTACACTAAATTACCAATACAAATGCAAACGCGAATCAGCAGGGCTCTCCCCCGCAGAATGGAAGTCAGCCCTGAACCTTGAGGTGAGGTCCTGCAGCAGATTAAGTCGCTGGGACCGCTCCAGGGTCATGGGAAGAAATGATGAAATGAGCGCCTAATGCGCCATATAACGAGATATTCATGCATCTCTCGGGGGGCACAGAGTGGTTGGTTGGGTAGTTAGTTAGTGCAGGAGTATATCTTTAGCACATTCAACTATAAGACTTTGCAAGAAGATTAGAAGGAGAAGGATGCGGTTAGAAACCAAAACCCAAATGTATCAAAGCAGAGGCTCTCCCAAAATTGGGCAAACTCATAGTGGAAACAACCATAGAAAAAACGGATCCATCATTAAGGATATTCACTATCTCTACAATTAAATACAGAAGGAATCGCCAGCCAATCTGCTGACTAGAGAGCCAAACGTCTCATTAGCAACGACGAAACGACTTTCAAGAACGAAAAGGACCAAAAGCTGCATTGGGCTATCGCAGAGTTGATCTAATTTATGTGCTTGACCCTCGGTCTGAAGACAAAAGCTACCGCTGATGTGTGCACACGGCGACAATAAATCAAGTTTTAAAGATTCCATCTAATGCCGCGATCGATCAAAACCAAACCCCTTTGGCACGAGGCCAACGACAGGAAGACATCTGCTACAAATTCTGGAAACAAAGGCACAGACTCTAACCTCAGAAAAAGAATAACTAAGCCCGAACTTAAGTTAAAGGAAAGGTGGTGGCTTGATTCTGATCTGTTGGTGTTTCGATACCAAAAATATAATTAATAATTAAAAACATTAAACTTTAAAAATTTGACGCATAAAGTGATTGGAAAATATTACAAGAAATAATTCAATTCACATTTACTAGTGAATGAAATGTTCGGCAGGAGACGAGAGAACTCTGAAGGCCAAATAACCAGGCAAGTCTTTAGTCCGAGAAAAATGCTCAAATAGTTAATGACGCAGCTTAATGACGGAGCGTTCTTCGGAGCGTTTTTCGGATCGTTTTTCGGAGCGTTTTTCAGCGCGTTCTTCGGAACGTTCTTCGGCGCATTCTTCGGAGCGTTCTTCGGAGCGTTTTTCGGAGCGTTTTTCAGCGCGTTCTTCGGAACGTTCTTCGGCGCATTCTTCGGAGCGTTCTTCGGAGCGTTTTACGGAGCTTTCTTTGGAGCGTTTTTCAGCGCGTTCTTTGGAGCGTTTTTCGGAGCGTTCTTTGGAGCGTTCTTTGGAGCGTTTTTCGGAGCGTTCTTCGGAGCGTTCTTTGGCGCGTTCTTCGGAGCGTTCTTTGGAGCGTTTTTCGGTGTGTTCTTCGGAACGTTCTTCGGAGCGTTCTTCGGATCGTTTTACGGAGCTCTTTTCGGGGCGTTTTTCAAAGCGTTCTTCGGACCGTTTTTCATTCTTCAACATTAGGAAGGTTCGCATCGTGGTTAATCCTACTTTGACTTTGGTTTTTGTTGTTTGTTTTGTGTTCGGTTCAGTTCGGTTCAGGGTCTCGGTTAATATTTGTTGGACGGTTGGCCGTGGCTTAACCAGGGAGTAGATGCCGCTCTGTTTCAGAATATATCCGCAGGTGACACCAATTGCGAGCTTTTCACCAAAAGTGTGCCAAAAGTCACGATCTGCGGGCTGGGGCTGCGGATGTTGGGGATGCCTCAGCAAAGAACTCTTAAATGCCTCAACAAAGCACTCACTTTATAGTGAAATTCCACATGCTTAATGAGCTCTGTCATGCTGGCAGGCTTATTGATTTCCGACAGCATTTTAATGATTTGAACGCTGTCCTTATGGTATCTGGGCTTGGGCAAGTGCTTCATCTTGTTGCTACACAAATAATATATTTATGTGTTAAAGTGGGGGCTATGACAAACGCAATGGGAAAATTACAAATTCCACAATTGACTGGTAATGCAAAGGCCCTGTGACGTATGAAAACCATGTGGTAGTCCAGTAGAGTTAACACATCAAACAGCGTACCCGAAATTCCGCCGCAACCAAATCACCATTACGTCGGGTCAGTGAGGCGTGGGAATGTTTCAATCCCCAGCTGCAGCAACAGACACAAAAATGTGTCAAGCAGCCAGCTGGGGCAACAGCAACTCTGGCAGTCTGCAACTGCATTTGGTCAATGGCCGGTCGGGGACCGATTGACCAGATGGATGACCCTCACACACAGAACGGATCGGAAGGGGAGCTGGGGCTGTGGCTGCGGCTGCGGCCTGTGTGCATGTCTGCATATGCCAAATGCAATCACGTTGTCGCGATTACCCCAAAACGAATGACAGGAAATGCAGCAACAGAGCCAGACACAGAGAGGGGCGAGGCTCAGGCACAGGCACAGACACCACCTGCCACAGAATCAAACTCAAACTCCAAGCCCAAAACCGAATGCGTGATTCCACAAGAAACTTCACCTTGCCGTGGGTCAGTAACGGGTCTGCGTGATACCAACTCCGCACTGGCAATGGCAATGCCAATGAAGGAAGGAAAGGGCAGAGGAAGGGCCGTGGAAGACGTGGGCCAAAAGGGTGAAAGTGTTTTCTAGTTTAATTGCTTAATTACGATCTGCCCCGGACAGAGACCGGGCGAAAAGAAGGTCAGCTCAGCGCTCGTGCTGCTCGTCGAAAAACTGGGTCAGTCAGCAAGAGGACGAAAAAGGGTTTACACACAAAAATCTTAATGAGTTTTCATTTGGCCTTTGCCTTCCCCGCTCGCTTCGTGCCGTGGAACGTTTTCTAATTAAAAGCACAATGACCCGGCCCGACGCGACTCGGGCACTGGTGACCCTTTCGGACAGCACAGGATGGCAGAACAGGAGTGGTGTGGTGTGGGGTGGAGCTTATGGTAATGAGTCAGCCACGCACTTTGCTCAGGGCGGGTCTCGGTCTACGTTTCCTATTCCCTCTCCGTATCGCCGGGCTGCTGGCAAATTAATTATCAAGTGTTGAACTTGAACTTGTCTCTGATGTCTGACCATTTTTAAAGCCAAACTCTCATCGATTTTCGCGCAGCCAGTAGAGTCACGGAACGGGTTTGAGAGGGGACCTTGTCTGGCCTCCACATGTCAGGGCCGAAAGATTTAAATCAGAGTCGACAGCGGCAGAACTGGTCTCGGTCTCGGGGTTTGGGCTATTTTGTATGCCTCTTTCGGCTTCAGCTTCGGTTCGGGTTTTCGGTTTGGTTTATTTAGTTGAGAACCCTTGTTTTTCGCTGCTTTGTCCGCGACGAGTGGCTCAGCCTCAGCCTCAGCCTCCGACTCTGCCTCAACCCTTTGGCAGGACTTTGGGCAGGACTTTGACAGGATGCTGCTGGTGGCTCTGGTCGCTGCTACACGGTAATTGCTTATTTAAGTGCGCGCCTTCATCCTTTTACGGGATGCCAGGATGTGCATACAAAAAAACAAAAGCAAAACCAAATGCCCTTCGTAATTACTGAATGAGAGAGGGGGGGGCCGACCGATGGCCGTGGAAAGGGCGAGGTTGAGTAGCCATCCGGGCATGGCAGAGGGTAGGGAATGGGCAGGGCAGGGCAGGGAAGGACAGCTGTCTAGCCGGACGAGGACCGAGTACGTTCAGCATCTCTCGCAATGAACTGCAAATCAAACGCGAACCACGGGGCCACCATGCGTGCATATTAAAAATGTTTTCAGTTCGACATTTTTTGGGCCTGCCTGCTCTGGTCCAGCTAGGAGCTCAAGGGGCAAAGGGTTAAGGCCCACTCCCGGGCAGCAGGCAGGCAGGCAGGCAGCAGCAGCTTTTGTTGTGCAGCCAACTGTGAGGTCCTGGTGTTGGTCCGTTCCTGTGTGCGAGGAGGCTGGGGGTGCTGCCAGCTGTCGCTATCTTGTCTGTCCTATCGCCATCTCGGAATCCGCACAGGGGGTCAGGGGTCAGCTAAGCTTAGCTGGGCAGGGGTTGATCGATCTGCCTGCCCTTCGGGGGTTTGGTTTTCACAGACTATCGCGCTTTGGTTTGGCCTGGTGCGGTCCTGGCCAACGGACAGCTGGCCCGTCGCTAAACAACTTTTGTTAACAACTCAATAAGCATAATAACAATTGCAGAAAAAGTTGCGGCTAGATGCCGTCTGTACATAAATTATAACGAGTTGTCTTGGTTGGCTGTTGGCTTGGTGGGTTGCTGGGCATGAACAAACACGCGGCCAGACATGTTGGGGCATTTTTCAATTTAAATGACACTAAATGAAGGTAGACCGACGCGACATGCCACGGTTAGAACTCACCCAGCGGACCACAGACACAGTGCACAGGAAATATCCATAGAACTTGAAACAAGAAATAACTGAAATTATTGTCTATTAATTACAAACTGTGTGCTGTGTGCTGGGGCTGGTCTTCGACGCGTTTGACAGACGGTAGGAGTTGAACCATAAATAGCAGGCGGCGCATGTATTCCATTCAGGTGCCGATAGGTGGCAGGGCTGTGGTCCATGGGGGCTTATTCCGTTCTTGTAACTGCAATTAAAAGAAATGAATAATTTATCATTAATTTAGTTGAGTTGAAAGTGATGTTGTGACATGTTTTAGTTGTAATTTCCCTTTTTAAGCGACGCCTCTGGCCACTCAACACTTGCCTCGCGCCTCTGCAATCATGTCTTAAGCTGCCTAAATGGCTCAAAGCGTTTTCGCCAGGCCACATGCAAATGTGGCAGCAGCCAGAGTCACATATCTAAGGCCAACAATTGTAGCTGCCGCAGCGGCATGGCATGTGCGACTGTCCGGGGCTTGTAGTTGCAATAAACGTATGTAATAATAATGAATTTTAATGTCGCACATTAACAATTCTTTGCATTTTAATTGGTCCACCCAAGCGATTCGGGGAACGCTGCTCCAATCCGATCTGATTCGATTCGATTCGATTTCAATCTCTGTGTGGGTTTTGCATAAATTGTGGCTGTTGATATGATTTAGTGACATGAAACAATGCACTGGAATTTATGGCGAAAAGTACTCCCCTCAGCTCCTGCCAAAATGCATTTAAGCGGATTGTGTCACGGGGCTTACATCGGGGTCTGTCTCTGGCTTGTAAATACATTTTCCAACTGCAATTTGTCAGCAAACATGACACAAAATTGGTCAGCCCCATGCCCCCTCCCTTCTGCTTTTGTTTATGCCATTTCGAATGTTGAGAAAATGTTGTAAATAATTAATGCAGAAAATACATATTAAAAATATTTCTCCCTCTGTCTCTCTGGGGAGGCGTGTTGCCGGGCCATCGATAAGCGTTTGGGCGTGCCCAGAGTGGGTGTGGCAGCGGGGCAGACAAAGTGGATCCACAAGGTGGCTGGGGCCGCTTCCATTAGGGAATCTGTTCAATCAATGCCGGCAATAAACAAATTTTTTATTGCCTCACGTTGCAGAGGAGGCAGCCCCAAGATGGGGAGTCCACTGGGGAGGGTAGGAGCAAAATATTCCGATTTTGTGTATAAATTTAATCTAAATGTTTCCATTTCTTGGTGATATTTCCATGAAGAATATTTCCAGGCCTGCAGCACTATGGCACCTCTCCCTGGACGCCTTTACCTTCCTCCCTTTCCTCCTGGCTGAGGCCGTATCAGTTTTTTATATGTGATGGCGCTACAAGCAATGGGTGGATCTTCATTAGCGCTGAAATGGCTTTCCAATTTGTAGCCATTGGCATAACTTACGAGCGCGCACCTTGCGGCACAGCCAGTCCGCTCCATATCCGACCACCGGCACAGAGCAGGGTTCCACTTTGCAGGCAATCTGCAGTCGAATTATGAATGGCAGAGAGATCTGAGAGAGCAGAGCTCTTTGTGGATCGTTCGGCTTTGGACCTGGTTTATGAAGTCGTAAAGAGCAGAGACGCTACGAGACTGTCTGCTCCCCTCTTCGTGCTGGCTATTATCCGGCGGCAAGTGTGGAAGGGGCAGCGTCAGATGCAGCATCTGTCACATGCAATTAGAAGTGCGCACCACACACTAATTAACTACAAGGCACCGCCCTGTGGCAGTGAGCCTCACCTTTTGAAGTTAAGCAAAATGCTGGAGGGGGGTCGGGACAGAGGACGAAAGGCTGGCAGGGACGAAAGCTTTAAGCATCCTTATAATGTCGCAGCGCCACTCGAGGGACCCCAGTGGCAACGGCACAGCAGTTTGTCAACAGGAGACACACGAAATGAAAAGAAATTGCCACTGTCTGATGCTGCCACTGCCTCCTGACGACTCTGGCCACCGCCTCTGACTCTCTTGCTGCGAGGCGTAAAAAGCAAACCAGCAGCAACAACATAAAATAAGGGGGAAAATCAGAGAAAAAGGAGCAAAAAAAGGAGTAGAAAAAAGAGGAGAAAAAAAATAAATGTCAAGGAAACGCAACCATCTGCACGAATTGTAATTGAAAAGATTTCCCTTGAAGGAATTACACGAGCGTGGCATGGCATGGCGTGGCGTGGCGCGGGTCCCTACCAGGTCCTGCCGCCGCCTCAGGATCCGTCAGGAGAGGAGAGGACAGCACAGGACAGGCCTTGCCTGGATGGGTGGGGCGTAGAAAATTTAATAAGGAAACCCCGGCGAGTCCATATTGTACTTTGTGTGAAAAATAATAGTTTTCTAAGCTTACTGCATTTGGCCCGACGGCGGCGGATGGATGGACGAGGGTGAGGGAGGTCGTCAAATAATTTTATTAACTGGAAAATATTTGCCACAGCCCACAAATATGCGGCCATAATGAAGAAATATTCGTGAGCCAAGGCCCAACCGGAATTCAACATTCAGTTTAAAGGCATTTTCATTGGTTCTGTCCTCCGTTTTCTTTCCTTTCCTCTCATTTCCATTCCATTCTGCGTGTGTCTCTCGACTGCCTTCTCTGCGGTTTGGCAAATGTGGCAATGGCAATGGAAATGGCAATGGC